AAGTCTACAATCACTTTTGTGTGCAGATATTCTGTCTTTTAATAATCTGGCAGTCTGACCAATGTATTCAGCACTGCAACTTATACAAGGGATACTATAAACCACTTGAGATTGAAATTTTTTTGGGATTTTATCTTTTAAGTTTGAAAAAAGGGAATTAATTGTTAATATAGGTTTGTGTGCAATTTTTATATTATCAATATTTTTGAAAATTCGTGTGAGTTTGGGTGTAATTTCACTGGTATATGGTAAGGAAGTAAAAAGATAATTATTTATCTGAATTTCATTATTATTATTATTGATATCATTGTCCTGACTTGGAGAGATTGAAGGACGAACGTTATGATCTATTTCATTGGGGGACGTGTTAAACAATATCTTGTTCAATAAAGTTTTAGGATATGAATTTTGTAAGAAGAGGTTTAAAAGGATTTTGAAATTTTTAAATGAAAGGACGAGTCCGAAATTCTGATAACACGTTGTTTCATTTGTTTGACCAAATTGACTTTTATTGATTGTTTATGTAATGACCAATAGTTCATGTATCTACCTGAACTTATTGGTTTTCTGTACCAGTCAATGAGTACGATATTAGTGGAAGTGCGAATGAGTTTGGTGTCTAGAAATGGAACACCTTGTTCATCGTCTTCCTTTTCGATGATGAATTTTATGTAGGGGTCATAACTATTGAAGATTTCAACAATTTTTGTGACTCCTGTATAGGAAAGGGCAAGGATTATGTTATCAACATATTTTTTTATGAAAAAAACTTGGTAAGGAAGGACATTTAGGACATTGTCTAACAGGTCATCCATTACATACATAGCTAGTAGCTAATTTTAACTCTAACTCAATTGCGACCAATCTCACTAACATTGTAAGTATTCAATTATCAACTTAAGTTCTGTATTAATTCAATGTCTATCATCTTAGCTCCCTGATGATGACAATAACCATTGTCGAAATATTGGAAATATAATGTTATAAAAGTACAATTGAAAGTTATTCAGTGTCTTGATATAGAAACAAAAGTTAATAATCGGACATAGCACTCAAGATAATGGCAAACCATAGACACGTGTTTCAGGCTTTTGACTAATCATCAGTATGGTGCAGCCAAGTGTAAGGATGGGCAACACTTGGTTACCAAAAGATAGAAATACAAATACACGGAGCCACCAGCAGGAGCCAACCGCACATTCGTGGTTTCAGTTGATAGATCTTGTGTTTAGCTGCCTCCGTGATAATTTTGATAGTTTTCTTGTAAACACAAGAAAATACTGAAGATTGAAGATTGGGTGCTTCAGTTTCAATCGAAAAGTCAACATGGGAATAGGCTTCACCGTCGAGCGAAAATTTCATCATAAAGAAATAGCCATTAGGATTGGAATTTACTGCTGCCAAACACACCATATTCCAGTTTGAGTAAAAAAGATCGCCGTACCGCCTGTTACTTGGAGCGAAACATTCACGGATTGAGGTATTCCTCTGGCTTCGTGGAATATAATCAATTAGATGTCATTCTCATGGAAAATCTACAAGGTGTCGGTGTCATTTATGTGCGAGGACATCAAAAACATGACTATCTAACTGCAAAATGTCATGAGTTGAATATACCTACACGCGTTGTGAATTTGGAGGGCTATGACAATACAATATGGATGGTTTCCACATTCGACAACAATGAAGGTGACTCACCGTAGTACTATTCGAAATATTCAGAAAAAACCAAACCACATTTTTTTTAATCAATTTGTTTCTGACTTTCGTAATTTGTTTCAGTGCCTTTTCNGCCGTATTCCATTATACTCACACACACACACACGTTTGTCAATATTAGTGGAAACCGTGCAATAGGTATATATGTGGTAGAATCTCAAAATGTTATCTGTACGACATCAAGTAAGACGAGCTGATCCCAAAAAACGTGTCCAATAGATGACCCCTTTATATGAAACATCAATTCATCTTCAAATCTAGGGAAATTTTCCTATCTTCAACATGATAATGACTTTACAATTTCCCTAACATTCTACGAAAACAAAAAAATGCGGTCAAGTATAACGAATGAGTCAATTTCGTTCCCCACAAAATAACCGCTATAAATATCAACCATTTGCAATTACTTTCAATAGTCTACGTTGGTGTCGAGGCTGAGGACAACGTCTACCATGTCGAAATCCTGAGTTCGATTCTCATTTCGATGAACTTTTTTCAATTAGGAGCACGTGACTGGTACGAGACAAGGGGGCCCGAAGGGTGATGCGGAGTCTCAAGAGGGCCTGAGTGGTGATGCGGAGTACTAAAGGGGCCGAGGACGGAGTCCCCAGAGGGCCCGCGCTCTGTGAAACTCTCCGATACTCATTCCATCCTGCATCAATTACGTCATATGTTTCCTTCCCCCACTCCCGTTTGAGCCAGAAGTTTCTTTGTACAACTAATATCACTCTGCTTTATTTTGCCAAGCTTTCGGTTTTAATGGAAAGCTTCTTCAGGAAAGTAAAAATGAGTGAAAAGCAATGGATTGAACATATAAATTGACGAAAGAAAGTTAAACATATATAGGATTTTTTTGGTTTGATAAATGTCATTTGTCAACCCAAAAAAATCCTATACATACGTGCCCTAACCAGAGAACAACTTCAACAAGTTGGCACTCTACGTTGACGACACAGCTCTACTGGCGAGATAAACTAGCCATGTCAGATACTTGCAACAAACAGCAAGCGAACAGATTAGAGGAATGGCAAACTTTTGGGAAAATCAGTATAAAACCTGAAAAGAGTCAGGCGATACTGTTCACCCGGAAGATGGTACACCCGGAAGGAAACGACATCTTCAACAGACAAGAGATTCCGTGTACCAACGAAAGGAAATACCTGGGGGTCACTCTCAACAGAAGACTAACGTTCAGACGGCAGAGACTTGGGTTGGCAAGAGCCGCCCGACAAAATCTATATTCGATCATAGGTCGCAGAAGCAACATGGGACTCCACGTAAAACTGTTGTTAATCAAAACCGTACTACTCCCAATCATCCTGAATGCCTGCACTGCATGGGGCCAGTGCGCAGCGACATACAGACGTACAATCCAGACGTTTATGAACGCTTGTGTGCGAGCCGCCGTAAACGCTCCAAGATTTATACAAATAGATTAATACCGCGACCTGGACCTAAACATCCACTACGAAGACACGAATATGAGAGAACACGCCAAAAATGAGTTCAAAAGAGTTTAATCACACACCAGTCCAGCGCTGCGTGATCTACATGAAGCGCTCAACAGGGAAGACCCTAGATCCCGAGAGACAAACACAAGAGGCCAACGGAGCAGAATCAGAGACCACGCTCCGAGAGTCGCTGTCGAGCGGCTCCGGTAAGTATAAAAACCGTATAAGTAAACCTAACACCCACTTCTTTTTCAGATACACAAACAAAGATAGTCCGCGACCAAAAGATACTTGTCTCCGGTTAGTTTAAGGGGGCCCCATGCAAAAATTACATTAAGTTAAGTCACGATAATTAAAATAACAGATGAAGGAAGTACAAGCACCTAAAGGCACTCACCTAAAGTGAGTTGTAATTGAGTGGGGGTTACATTAAAAAGTAAATAAGTTGTTCTGCTTTTCGTAGAATTTCAGGTGCAGTGGATTTCTGTTTAAAATTTGTTTTTCCGTTAACCAGGTGTCGTATCCCTACGAACGACAACCCCCAGAAGTCGACTAACTAGGTCTTACCTTTTAACATATCATTGCTAACACGGGTTGGACGATAGCAAATGAAAATCGATCGTTTAGCCTGGGATTTGAACCAGCGACTAACACGGCGGTCGATTCGAGTGAGTGAATAAAGCACCCACGTCGATCCAACCGGCTACCTTCCTGAGGTTATACATCGAGTATATCACTATATTTTCATAAAATGTTTTGCGGTTTTAGATCGCATTTTGTGGATTTTTGACATCATCGTCACAAAAAACAACTATATTAGGTTGGCAATACACAATTACAGTGCTATTGACAGTTGACAAGAAATATATTGTAATTTGTAACTTGTAATGGCTACATTTTTATAAAAGTAAAACTTTTGGGAACCTTAATTCCTCCAGAACATTGAACATAATTTCCAAACGACTGTATTTACTTTCACGAATAAAATCAACATGGAGGAGTTAGCTGTGGAGGTTTGCGGCGAAAATGGAGCTCTTTATAAGGTACTAACTACCTTTCAAGTATTGGAAATTTATTTTATTTTTTTGAGATGTTGCTTTTTGATATTCTCAATTTCATTACTATCAAAATTGGCGATTCCCTTTTTCATGTATAATTAGTTTAGTTATTGTACATTTTGTTGAAATCTATTTCACTTTGGAAATGGATGTCAGTTCAAATGACTGATAATATTCATTACTGGCATTAATGGGTTTTCACTCCCAAGAAATCAAAAAACTTTTTAAATAAATCAAGTAAGAAGGGAAAATTCCTAAGTAACACATGTGCTTCCCAAATAATATTCAGACAATGTTGACCAATAATATCCATTTTTTGTTCAAACCCTGGTAGTTTGTGAAGTCCTAATATGCTTAAATGATGTCCCTTTAATGTTTATATCTAATTCATTTTTCTTTTCTAGGGTTATATCATAGACATATTTGACGATGAAGTTCTAATTCATTTTGAAGATGAGTAAGTTTTTGAGTTGATATCATTTTTGTTTGCTTATTATATATTTTTTCAGTTGGCAGCCAGACTCAAAGTTTCCAAATTCTCAAGTTAGGTTACCTCCTAAAGCAGATCCCAAAGTGGAATTCACAGAAAATATGGAAGTTGAGGTGTATTCAAGATCAAGTATTCAAGAAGCCTATGGCTGGTGGAAATCAAGAATCAAGGTGGGTACATTATTTTTTTCTTTCAACTTCTACCCTCACATTGTACGTATATCTCCCAAGTAAATGTTTCGGTTGAGTCAAATAGAAAAAACAATAACACAAAAATCCATGATATAGCATGTAGTAAAAGAAATAAGTTCAATGAATTGAATTTGAATGAAAGAAAAATATAGTGTTTTTTGAATAACACTAATTGAAACTATTTAAGCCAGAATTTCACATACTCTTGAACCTGGTAGACTAGGGTACTGCTGTTGGCTAAAAGATAGAAGTTTAAATGACAGAAGTTTCCATCATTGATGAGGCTATACTTACAAAAACTATGGTTTCAAACTTCAGTATACATTGCAAGAGGTCATATTCCCATGATGTGAATATTTATTGTAGTATACTGAATGATGCATTAACTGAGCCTTTTGTTTTACAAAATCGATTAGGAAAATTTTCTTGAACTTCTCGAAAATAATGAGAGAAGTTATTGAAGGCAGAGCCACACGCTTAAAAAAATAAGTAAAAAGTTTTGGTTGAATGAAAATAATATAAAAATGTCCGAAATATATCTCTGAATACCCGCGCAATATGTTGAATTATCGATTAATCACAAAACCTACGAACGAGATAGTTTGTGACCAAAAATTGCAAAACATCGTTTGATAGAGGCGGTGGTTTCTACTTAAGGAAACCGAACAAATAATATCAATATTTTGAAATATGTGCTTATTTATGGTTCTTTCATTTATTATTCATTACAAAAGATGTGTTTTTTCAAAAACCATTTTTGATTCTACTAAGCTATAGCTCAGTAGAATCAAAAATAAAATGAGCGAATCATAATTAGTTCATAAATAGGAAATGGGGAAAAGTATTAGGGATATAAGGATTCTGACAATTCCAAACAATTTTTCCCAATGATTCTATTCGATAAAAAAATGTCTAATATGTTTTTCTCGGAAACTAGAATAATTTGTGATTCTAGTGAATAATCAGTCATTTGTTTATACGCCTTAGAAAACTTTACACAGTAAAATAATTAAATGGGACTTCAAACAAAAAAGATACAGGAGGATCGGGATTGAAGTGAAAATCGTGTTTATTTTTGTTTTCAGTAATATATGACTTGCACCACAAAACTGTTTTATAATCAAGTACGTATTCACA